GTTTCAAGGATATCAGGAGGTTCAAGGATTTCAGGAGTTTCCACACTTTCAACAGTTTCCAGGTTTAAAAAAAGTTTCAAGGATTTCAGGAGTTTCAATGTTTCAACAGTTTCAAGGATTTCAGGAGTTTAAAGGTTTCAACAATTTCAAGGACTTCAGGAGTTTCAAATATCTATCAAGTATTTTAACAGTTTCAAGGCCTTTTAAAGGATTTCAAGGATTTTTTTTAGCAGATTTCCACATTAGATCTGTTCCGCAGTCAATCGCAATGGCTTCAGCCATTGCAAGTTTCTAGTGTTAATATCTGAAAAAGTGCTAAAGGTGGAAGTGTGAAAAGTAATAGCAATAATGAGACGGTGAAGCCGGTCGTAACGATGTATAATTTGTTGAATTTGGTGAAAGCGTTGAAGAGTTGAAAAGTGCCAAAATCTGGCGGAAGTGGAAGAAGAAGAAGAAGAAGAAGAATAAACAGTAGGAGAGCATATAGTGGCTGCATAGTCTATGCAGCCACTCAATAAACAGTAGGAGAGCATATAGTGGCTGCATAGTCTATGCAGCCACTCAACTAGAAATGGTACAATGGCTGAAGCCATTGTGAGTGGCTGCATAGATGTTGGAAGGGTTAGGGATGAAGAAGGAAGAAGAAGGAAGAAGAAAGAAAAGGGAAGAAGAGGAAAGACGAAGAAGGAAGAGGAGGAGGAAGAAGAAGAAGGGGAAGAAGGAGAAGAAGAGGAAGAAGGGGAAGAAGAGGAAAAGGGGAAGAAGAGGAAGAAGAGGAAGAAGAGGAAGAAGGGGAAGAAGAGGAAAAAGGAGAAGAAGAGGAAGAAGAGCAAGAAGAGGAAAAAGGGGAAGAAGAGGAAGAAGGGGAAGAAGAGGAAGAAGGGGAAGAAGAGGAAAAAGGGAAAGAAGAGGAAGAACAGGAAGAAGAGGAAGAAGGGGAAGAAGAGGAAGAAGAGGAAGAAGGGGAAGAAGAGGAAGAAGGGGAAGAACAGGAAGATGAGGAAGAAGAGGAAGAAGGGGAAGAAGGGAAAGAAGAGGAAGAAGGGGAAGAAGAGGAAGAAGTAAGAAGAATGTGTTGTAAGGGACTGAAAGTGTTGTAAAGTGCTAAATACGTTGTAAAGTGCTAAATGTGTTGAAAGGTGTTGAATTTGTTGTAAAGTGCTAAATGTGTTGTAAGGTGTTGAATTTGTTGTAAAGTGCTAAATGTGTTGTAAAGTGCTAAATGTGTTGTAAGGTATTGAATTTGTTTTAAGGTGTTGAATGTGTTGTAAAATGCTAAATGTGTTGAATTTGTTGTAAAGTGCTAAATGTGTTGTAAGGTGTTGAATGTGTTGTAAAGTGCTAAATGTGTTGTACAGTGTTGAATTTGTTGTAAGGTGCTGAATGTGTTGTAAGGTGTTGAATTTGTTGTAAAGTGCTAAATGTGTTGTACAGTGTTGAATTTGTTGTAAGGTGCTGAATGTGTTGTAAGGTGTTGAATTTGTTGTAAAGTGCTAAATGTGTTGTAAGGTGTTGAATTTGTTGTAAAGTGCTAAATGTGTTCTAAGGTGTTGAATTTGTTGTAAAGTGCTAAATGTGTTGTAAGGTGTTGAATGTGTTGTAAAGTGCTAAATTTGTTGTAAGGTGTTGAATGTGTTGTAAGGTGCTGAATGTGTTGTAAGGTGTTGAATTTGTTGTAAAGTGCTAAATGTGTTGAATTTGTTGTAAAGTGATAAATGTGTTGTAAGGTGTTGAATTAGTTTTAAAGTGCTAAATGTGTTGTAAGGTGCCGTAAGTGTTGTAAGATGTTGTAATGTATTGTATCTGTGGTAATGAATTGTTAGTGTGGTAATGTGTTGTATGGGGAGTAATCTGTTGTACTGGTCCAATGTAAGTCTATGGGAAAAAGTGCTTGAACTTTTGTTAATATCTGAAAAAGTGCTAAAGGTGGAAGTGTGAAAAGTAATAGCAATAATGAGACGGTGAAGCCGGTCGTAACGATGTATAATTTGTTGAATTTGGTGAAAGCGTTGAAGAGCTGAAAAGTGGAAGTGGAAGAAGAAGAAGAAGAAGAAGAAGAAGAATAAACAGTAGGAGAGCATATAGTGGCTGCATAGTCTATGCAGCCACTCAATAAACAGTAGGAGAGCATATAGTGGCTGCATAGTCTATGCAGCCACTCAATAAACAGTAGGAGAGCATATAGTGGCTGCATAGTCTATGCAGCCACTCAAATAAACAGTAGGATAGCATATAGTGGCTGCATAGTCTATGCAGCCACTCAACTACAGTAGAGTAGAGTAGAGTAGAATAGAGCAGAGTACAATAGAGTAGAGTCGAACTACAACTGCAGTAGAGAGTCTGGTAGGGTAGAGTAGAGGGAAGTAGAGTGAGTATAAAGTAGAGCGAAGTAGTGTAGAATAGAGTACAATAGAGTAGAGTAGGGTAAAGTAGAGTAAAGTAGAGTAGAGTAGCGTAGGGTAAAGTAGAGTAGAGTAGGGTAAAGTAGAGTAGAGTAGAGTAGCGTAGGGTAAAGTAGAGTAGAGTAGAGTAAAGTAGAGTAGAGTAGAGTAGGGTAAAGTAGAGTAGAGTAGCGTAGGGTAAAGTAGAGTAGAGTAGCGTAGCGTAGGGTAAAGTAGAGTAGAGTAGGGTAAAGTAGAGTAGAGCACAGTAGAGTAGAGTAGAGTAGAGGAGAGTAGCGTAGGGTAAAGTAGAGTAGAGTAGGGTAAAGTAGAGTAGAGCACAATAGAGTAGAGTAGAGTAGAGTAGCGTAGGGTAAAGTAGAGTAGAGTAGAGCACAGTAGGGTAGAGTAGCGTGAGCGCGGGTCTCCAGTCTGCAGCTCCAGTTCTGCAGCTCCAGCTCTCTCCATATTTACACAAACATAAATAAGTGCAAAGTCACCGTTGTTCTTGCATTAATAACAATAACTGTTTTCTGAGCTCACGCCTGTTTGAGGAGCGGCCAGTCTGCACAGGGGGCGGGGTGCGGCTAATCCTCCAGAGAGGGGCCACTCCTGCTCCACACCGTGCCCGCACAGAGAGGCGAGGATCCCGGGGGAGACAGCCACCATGTCCTGCTTCCTCATCTGCGGAGCTCTGTTCGTGGTTGCAGCGTACTTTTACCGAGAGGTGATAGTGAAGGGACAGCGATGCACCAGCGCCGTGAGACTGCACGGGAAGACCGCCATTGTGACCGGTAAAATATGAGGAAATATGAGGTTTAAAGCTGGGGGACGTAAGTTTCTGGGTTCAGACTTCAGAAATAACACATGTGGTTTGCCCCATGTGAGAGTCTTGGCAAAGTTTCATCTTGTGAACAAATCAGACACAACATGCGGTCTGTATATTAGAAAACATGTGTAAGAAAGAGCCCTGAGAGTCACTTTCTGACACTTTGGGCTGAGAGCTGATTGACTGAGGGAGAGTAAAGAGCTGACAGAGGATAAAACATGTGGAAACTAGTGATACAAGCAAACTGTCGAGGAAATAGAGACATGGATTTGATTATTTTAGTAAATAATTGTGTGTGTTTGAAAGTTAGATACCCCAGCTATGAAATGACTACTACTAGTAATAGTAGTAGCAGCAGTAGTAGTTGTAATAGTAAAAGTAGTAGTAGTTGTAATAGTAGCAGTCACAGTAGTAGTATTAGTAAAAGTACTAGTATAAGTAATAGTAATAGTAGTAGTAGCAGTCACAGTAGTAGTATTAGTAAAAGTACCAGTATAAGTAATAGTAGTAGTATTAGTAATAGTAAAAGTACCAGTAGTTATAGCAATAGCAGTAGGAGTAGTAGTAGGCGACAGTGGCTAAGTGGGTAGAGCATTGGACTTTGAGCCTGAAGGTTGTGGGTTCACAAGACTTTCTCCACCGACTCCCACTGATGTCTGCTGCCGTTGTGTCCTTGGGCAAGACACTTCACCCCCATTGCCTAGAATGAGTCTGGTGTGTGTGTGAATGGTTGGTGGTGGTGGGAGGGGCTGATGGCACAGACTGGTTGCCTCGCTTCTGTCAGTGTGCCCCAGGGCAGCTGTGGCTACAGTAGTTGTTTATCACCACCGTTTATGGAGTGAAAGAATAATGTAAAGTGTCTTTGAGTGTCCAAAAAAGAGCTATATAAAGCCGATGTATTATTATTATTAGTAGTAGTATTCATAGTAGTATTCATAGTAGTGTGGAAAATGAACCTCACAGAGACGGGATCTTTACGCACCAGAGCCACCTGGAAGTTCATTCAGTTTCAGATCTTTGTCAGGTTTTCTTCAGCTCTTTTTTTTTTTCAGGCAGAACACGTCACACATCGAAAGAACTTAACACGGATACACAATCGTAGCAGATTTACTAGAAGTAATAAAAGTACCAGTAGTAGTAGCAGTAGTAGTAGTAATAGTAATAGTAGTAGTACTAATGAATGAATACATTGTGGAACGTTTCTACTTCAACATGGATTCAAACGTGTTTTTACTGAACCAAAACCAACATTCTCCACAGATGTGACCTGTATCTCCTCAAAATGACTAGTTTCCAATAGAGATAAAAAGTTGATGGCCACAGAGACATGATGTGGAGACAGTTTTAGAGCCAGGAACTAGTGACATGGAATTAATTAGATAGTTCCAATAGTTGTGTTTAGGTACATACAGTACGTTAAAAGACACTGTGCATGTGTGCAAGTGTGTTGCCTGATGCCTCAGCACAAATAAGCCAGTAATACCAGTTGTGTTGCTGTTAATAGTACTGATAGCATTGATAATGATGAGAGAATTACTTCGCAATTACAACAACACACACAGTGTGTACACAGAAGTGTATATGTATAGCAAAATGATAAACAGTCACAGTAAATCTTAAAGGAGTTACAGCCAAAAACAGAATTGTTTTTAACTTGGATTTGAGCATTGTCAGAGAAGAAGCCTGTCTCACATCCTCAGAGTTCCAGCAGGAGGCCAGTCCCTGTGCTCCTCAGAGTCCCAGATGTACTTTGGTGCGACGCCATGGAGAGACTTGTAACAAACAGAGCTGCTTTTCTCAGACAGCTGAAACCAGGACTAATGTGATGGTGCTTCCTGGTTCTAGTCCGGACTCCAGCTGCAGAGCTGTTTTGCATCTCATTTGCAGGGACCAGTCAGCAGCGGTTACAGTAGTCTAACATTGCAGACAAAACCAGGAGAAGAATCTCTAAGTCTGTACAGCTGATGTTGTATCGATCCATATTGAGATGTAAGATTGTGGATTAAACAATAGAGCAGAAAAAGGAACGTTATGTTGTGTTTTTGAGTCGTAAAAACCTTGTAATGATAAAAATCATGCAGATAACATCCCATGGCAGAAAGGTAGCAGTCCATGTCCATGTGTTAATATTTAGAGTCTATGGTTTTCAGGCAGTAACACTGGGATCGGGAAGAGGACGGCGGTGGATCTGGCCAAACGTGGCGCCCGCGTCATCATGGCGTGCCGCAGCCGAGAGCGCGGAGAGGCCGCCATGGAGGACGTCAAACGGGTCAGCTCAGCCTTATTCCAACATTTATCAAAGCCTTTTTTTCCTGTCAATACCCTATAATGTCAAAGAGATAAAGTGTGAGATTTCATAACTTTTGTTAAAGTTAAACTCATCATTCTATCAATGTGCAGAAGCCAGTACTTTTCCCTTGTTTTGTCTATCTGAAGGCCAAGCTACAAGCACACCGTGGAAGCTGCTGATTGGAGGTCTCCATGCCTCCGCTCTGTATAATACACTTGCATTCTATTGTTTCTGTGATCGTGTGCTTTGTTCGTGCTGTCTCTACCATCGACAATAAAACATGTCTTCTGTCTGAATGTAAGACGCGATCCCAGACTATGTCATCTTCTTCAGGTGGTGGAAGGATGCGGGCCTTGTCTGTAACATCTAGAGAACAGAAGACTACTTTTTTTTACACAAAAAGTGTTTTTTTTAAGCCAAAACTGAGAAACCTCAAGAGAAACCATGCATCTGGACCAGCACACTTGGACAATCTGCACAGCCCCTGATTCCACTCAGGCTGTGAGCTGCTGAGACATGGACAATACCATCGTCCTCTTTTGCATGGACATAATTTGGAACAATTGGATTACACAATATGGACATAATTTGGACTGAATTGGATTTCTGAATCTGGACACTGAAGCTGAAACGTGTGATTGAAAGACACGTCACAGAAGAATTCATGGCTCGACACAACAAATGCAGCCTGAGAAATCAACACGGAGAAGTGGGAGAGACTGTTTTCAAAGCAATATCTGGAACCATCGACTGATGAAGTTTGGTATTTTACTGAAGATTGTTGACAAGTTTTATGAAAGATCTGAACATGTTTTATGAGTTTTCTGAGTTTTTGAAGTATTCCGAGTTCTGAGTTTTTTGAAGTACCGAGTTTGAGTTTTTGAAGTATTGAGTTATGATGTTATGTTGCTGTTTATCGATCCTGATGGTCACATGTGAATGTATGACCAGAGGGGGGAATATGAGATTTCATAACACTTCAAGTTAAACTCATCATTCTATCAATGTGCAGAAGCCAGTACTTTTCCCTTGTTTTGTCTATCTGAAGGCCAAGCTACATGGCACTGTGGCAGCTGCTGATTGGAGGTCTCCATGCCTCCGCTCTGTATAATACACTTGTATTCTATTGTTTCTGTGATTGTGTGCTTTGTTCGTGCTGTCTCTACCATCGACAATAAAACATGTCTTCTGTCTGAATGTAAGACGCGATCCCAGACTATGTCATCTTCTTCAAAAGTATTTGCCAAAAATATCACGCATACAAAAGTATTTACAGCCTATATCCCAAAGCACTACATGGACATGGATCGCATTTTCGTAATGATTACAAAAATAAAGTCAGTTAGTGCAGCTTTAAATTGTGACAAACCTCAGAAAGGCCCTTCGGAACTCTTCTATTTCACCCATGGTTTTTCTAATACGCATGGCTTTTCCCTGTACTCTGCTGGGCTTGTCTCAGTAGTATCATGTTTACGTGAGTACATTGCTGTGTAAGTAAGTAATTTACAGACCATTGTCACCCAACGCGCTTTACAATGTTCAGAAATTTGATATTTTTTCCATATACACACGGTGATGACAGAAGTGAGAAGCCGAACACAAAGCCCCCATCCAAGCCGCCATTCAACACCATCCATACCTATTGTTTTTAGTTTTTAGTTGTCGGGGAAACCAGAGTGGGAGAGACCAGACCAGAGTGGGAGAGACCAGACCAGAGTGGGAGAGACCAGAGTGGGAGAGACCAGAAAGAGAGACCCTAGTAAGGCATTGGGACAACATGTTAACCCCACTCAGAACGGCCCTATTCCGACCGAGATTCGAAACCAGGACCTTCTTGCTGAGAAGCGGGAGTGCTAACCACTCAACCACCGTGTCGCCTATAGAGATATTCTTTAAAGTGGACATATCGTGTTTTCAAATAATTGATTTTTACATCTAAATCATTAATTTGTGGCCTATATAAAGCGTAACTGCAATGCCTGGGTCTGAGTCTCATTATTTGTAGCTCCACGGGCCTTTCTTCTACACCTGTTCTGAGGTGCGTCTGAGAGCAACCTGTTTTGGTGCTGTCTCTTTAAATGCAAATGAGGCGCTTTTGACCACGCCCCCATCTAGGTGACACAGGTTCAACTCCACCCCGAGCAGCCATTTTTGTAGTTTCTAAGCACAGATACAATTATCTCATAGAAACTTCTCATTACATCGCAAACATGAAGCAGGCCTTCCTCATTGACTGAAAGCAAATGTTAAGTTTCATTCTTAGTCCAGTTTTATTATCGACTCTTCTCTTTTTAGCTTTGGGATCCATGCGCACAGTCTATGATGCTCACACGCCGGTTTGACAGACACGTTGACAGAAATGTTTTAATTGAATATTACTTATGCAAAATTTTACAGCATTTAAAAACGTTAAGAACGTTTTTCCTTCTACAGAAGGAAAGAGACGCATGCGCCTCCGGAGCCGCAGGTTGCCGACTCCTAGTTTATACAGTATGTGGAACCAAATACTGTAGAGGATCAGGATATGTGCAGTTTCAACAATAAAATAAAATGCAATAGTCTGCATTAAAGAGAGTAATAAACATGTCTCAGAGTGAGGGAGGTGGACACAGACAACACTATTGTTTGTTACAGGGATGAGAATTGGTCAAAAAAGACTGAAATGCATATTGTCAGCCATTTGCTGGCTCTAAATCTGTTTAATTTGTTCACAGCATGTTACTTTTGGGCTCAAACATGAACTTTTAATGCAATGCAAAATGTAGGTATCAGAGCTTTATTTAGGGTGTTTAATCGCGCTTCGAGAGGAGAGGAAAGAAGCGGACTGTTTCCTGCAGCAGTGTATTTATTGGGTGCACAGATTACTCAAAGTCACGCATGGTCCTGTGCGCGTTTATGGGGTTGGGTACATGGCCACGTTGAGGCTGCGCGCTCAGCCACAACACGGTGGAGCGGCTGCGAGCGGCTGGACGCTCGCAGCCGCTGGACGCTCACAGCCTCTCGCAGCCGCTGGACGCGGAAGCTGCTGATTACAAAGCGGCCGCAGATGCCCCGGAACACTGTGGCCGCTGAGGTGGCGGAATCCCGTTCGAGTACATACAGCAGGTTCCCCGCGGATACGCACGCCCCGCTCCAACAATTCTCCACGGATTTACACTTCTCATAAACATGTGTTTTGTATGAGGCAGAGAGACCGGCCCAAATATGGGCATCGGCCCTTTGGGCATTGCCCGGTACGCCCGATGGCCAGTCCAGCCCTGTACGCTGGCATCCTTGAGCTTGGACTACAAATGAAGTGATGCACAGTAGAGGAGGGCTGGGCCGAAGTGTTTTGTTAGACGCCCATGCCCTTATATGGCAGTCTCGCTGCAAATACTGTGACGTAATAATTCTAAACACGTAATAGAGAATGGCAAAATCAGAACGGGTTGAAAAATCTTACCTAAACAGAATATGAAGTGTTCTCTGCAACCCATGAAGAGACTGATTTCAACTTTTTTGCACTTCTAGAGGCTCCAACTACACAACATAAGGCATTTAAGGCACAAAAAGTGGATTTTTCATGATATGTCCCCTTTAAGTCTGTGTTTATTTTCTGAATTGTAAATGAATCGAACACTAAACAGTAAAGTCTTCTACAGTTTCTCAAAAAGCTTAAACACACTTTTCTGAGCTGAATGTTGTGATGACTGTGTGTTCCGTGCAGGAGAGTGGCAGCTCTGACGTGGTCTTCCTGCCTCTGGATTTGGCCAGTTTCAAATCCATTCGAGAATTTGCCGAAAACTTCCTCAAATCTGAGCCCAGACTGGACCTGCTCATCAACAACGCAGGTCAGACTGAGACTCATGTGCAGATGTACCCAGTGTTAAATATACCCGAGAGATCGGCCTCGCACTCATTGGATCTAGTTTGTGACCAGAGAGCGAGACCAGAGAGCGAGACCAGAGAGCGAGACCAGAGAGCGAGACCAGAGAGCGAGACCAGAGAGCGAGACTAGAGAGCGAGACCAGAGAGCGAGACCAGAGAGCGAGACCAGAGAGCGAGACCAGAGAGCGAGACCAGAGAGCGAGACCAGAGAGCGAGACCAGAGAGCGAGACCAGAGAGCGAGACCAGAGAGCGAGACCAGAGAGCGAGACCAGAGAGCGAGACCAGAGAGCGAGACCAGAGAGTCCTTTCTACAGGCTAACATCAGGCATTGGTTTTTGACTTTTAAACACCTTTCATGAGAAAATAATGAGACCATAGTTATTACAGATTGTGCTGAAAAGATGTGGAACTTTGTCACAGTTTTAGTTTCATGTGGGTTAAAGTACCAGTAGTTATAGTAATAGCAGTAGGAGTAGTAGTAGGCGACAGTGGCTAAGTGGGTAGAGCAATGGACTTTGAGCCTGAAGGTTGTGGGTTCACAAGACTTTCTCCACCGACTCCCACTGATGTCTGCTGTTGTTGTGTCCTTGGGCAAGACACGTCACCCCCATTGCCTAGAATGAGTCTGGTGTGTGTGTGAATGGTTGGTGGTGGTCGGAGGGGCTGATGGCACAGACTGGTTGCCTTGCTTCTGTCAGTGTGCCCCAGGGCAGCTGTGGCTACAGTAGTAGATTCCGGGGGGGAAGGAGCCCGAGCTTGTGGGGGAGGTTGAGCGATACCGACTAGAGATAGTCGGCCTCACCTCCACACACAGCTTGGGCTCTGGAACCCAACTCCTTGAGAGGGGTTGGACGCCTCTTCCCGCGGGGAGAGGCGGCGAGCTGGGGTGGCCATTCTCATTGCCCCCCATCTCAGCCGCCATGTGTTGGAGTTCTCCCCGGTGAATGAGAGGGTCGCGTCCCTCCGCCTCCGGGTGGGGGACAAGTCTCTCATTGTTGTGACGGCCTACGGGCCTAACAGCAGTGCAGAGTACCCGGCCTTCTTGGAGTCCTTGGGAGGGGTACTGGACGGTGCACCGCCCGGGGACTCCGTTATTCTCCTGGGGGACTTCAACGCCCATGTGGGAGTCGCCAGTGACACTTGGAGAGGGGTGATCGGGAAGAACGGCCCCCCTGATCTGAACCCGAGCGGTGTCCAGCTGTTGGACTTCTGTGCCAGTCACAGTTTGTCCATCACGAACACCATGTTCGAGCACAAGGGTGTCCACCAGTGCACGTGGCACCAAGACACCCTAGGCCGGAGGTCGATGATCGACTTTGTTGTCGTATCATCTGACCTTCGACCGCGTGTCTCGGACACTCGGGTGAAGAGAGGGGCGGAGCTGTCAACCGATCATCACCTGGTCGTGAGTTGGATCCGCTGGCAGGGGAGGAAGCCGGTCAGACCTGGCAGACCCAAGCGTATAGTGAGGGTCTGCTGGGAACGTCTCGCTGAGCCCCCTGTCAGACGGACTTTCAACTCGCACCTCCGGGAGAGTTTCTCCCAGGTCCCGGCGGAGGAGGGGGACATGGAGTCCGAGTGGACCATGTTCTCTGCCTCAATCGCCGATGCGGCGGCTCGTAGCTGTGGTCGCAAGGTCTCTGGTGCTGGTCCCGGCGGCAACCCCCGAACCCGGTGGTGGACACCGGCAGTAAGGGATGCTGTCAGGCTGAAGGAGTCCTATCGAGCCATGATGGTTCGGGGGACTCCTGAGGCAGCTGTCCAGTACCGGCAGGCCAAGCGTGCCGCGGCCCGGGCTGTTGCAGAGGCAAAAACCCGGGACTGGGAGGAGTTCGGAGAGTCCATGGAGCATGACTATCGGTCGGCCTCGAAGAGATTCTGGCAAACCATCCGGCGCCTCAGGAGGGGGAAGCAGTTCTTTGCCAACACCATGTACGGTGCGGGTGGAGAGCTGCTGACCTCGACTGGGGATATTGTCGGGCGGTGGAAGGAATACTTTGAGGTTCTCCTCAATCCCCCCGTCACGTCCTCTGTTACTGAGGCAGAGGCTGAGGATGTTGGGGCGGATACATCCATCTCCCTGGCTGAGGTCACCAAGGTGGTTAGTAGCCTCCATGGTGGCAAGGCTCCGGGTGTGGATGAGATCCGCCCTGATTATCTAAAGTCTCTGGATGTTGTAGGACTGTCTTGGCTGACACGTCTCTGCAACGTCGCGTGGCGATCGGGGACAGTGCCAATGGAGTGGCAGACCGGGGTGGTGGTCCCTCTCTACAAGAAGGGGGACCGGAGGGTGTGTTCCAATTATCGTGGGATCACACTCCTCAGCCTCCCCGGTAAGGTCTACTCCAGGGTACTGGAGAGGAGGTTACGACCGATGGTCGAATCTCGGATCCAGGAGGAGCAGTGTGGTTTTCGTCCCGGTCGCGGAACACTGGACCAGCTCTATACTCTCCATCGGATACTCGAGGGTTCATGGGGGTTCGCCCAACCTGTCCACATGTGCTTTGTGGATTTGGAGAAGGCGTTCGACTGTGTTCCCCGGGGTGTCCTTTGGGGGGGTTCTCCGGGAGTACGGGGTCGGAGGTCCTCTGCTGAGGGCCATCCGATCCCTGTATGACCGGAGCCAGAGCTGTGTTCGCATTGCCGGCAGTAAGTCAGACCTGTTCCCGGTGAATGTTGGCCTCCGACAGGGCTGCCCTTTGTCACCGGTTCTGTTCACTGTATTTATGGACAGAATATCTAGGCGCAGCCAGGGGTCGGAGGGGGTCTGGTTCGGAGACCACAGGATTTCATCTCTGCTGTTTGCGGACGATGTTGTCCTGTTGGCTCGAACGAACCAGGACCTGCAGCATGCACTGGGGCGGTTTGCAGCCGAATGTGAAGCGGCTGGGATGAGAATCAGCACCTCCAAATCCGAGGCCATGGTGCTCGACCGGAAAAAGGTGCCTTGCCCTCTGCAGGTGGGTGGAGAGGTCCTTCCTCAAGTGGAGGAGTTCAAGTATCTCGGGGTCTTGTTCACGAGTGAGGGAAGAATGGAGCGTGAGATTGACAGGCGGATCGGTGCAGCGTGCGCAGTGATGCGGTCGCTGTATCGGACCGTTGTGGTAAAGAGGGAGCTGAGCCGAAAGGCAAAGCTCTCAATTTACCGGTCAATCTTCGTTCCCTCCCTCACCTATGGTCATGAGCTTTGGGTAATGACCGAAAGAACGAGATCGCGGATACAAGCGGTCGAAATGAGCTTCCTCCGCAGAGTGGCTGGGCGCTCCCTTAGAGATAGGATGAGGAGCTCAGTCACACGGGAGGAGCTCGGAGTAGAGCCGCTGCTTCTCCACGTCGAGAGGAACCAGTTGAGGTGGCTCGGGCATCTGTTCCGGATGCCTCCTGGACGCCTCCCTGGGGAGGTGTTCCGGGCACGTCCCACCATGAGGAGGCCCCGCGGAAGACCTAGGACACGCTGGAGAGACTATGTCTCTCAGCTGGCCTGGGAACGCCTTGGGGTCCCCCCGGACGAGCTGGAGGAAGTGTGTGTGTATAGGGAAGTCTGGGCGTCTCTGCTTAGACTGCTGCCCCCGCGACCCGACAACGGATAAAGCGGAAGAAAATGGATGGATGGATGGATGGATGGGTTGTTCCAGGAAGTAGGGAGACAAAAGTATTCTAAACTACAACTGGCTGCTCTTCATCACAACCTAGGGCTGGGCAATTAATCGATTTTAATCATTAATTCGAGTTTTACGTTTAGGGCGATTTCTTTTTTTAAAAATTCGATTTTTATTTTCTCTAGCGCAGAACTACAGCGCTAACGCGCTAACCGCGGGTCTATGGTGTTGAGCAGTCATTTTGAAGCTAACCTAATGCTAACAGTCTCCCTCTGGCCTGATGCTCGCTCTCACAGTTGGTGCTGTTGCAATAACACTTCAAACGTTCAAGAATCAGACTTTATTTAATCGCCAAAACACACACACACAGGCTCCGGTCGTACGCCACATCTTTCACGCTCTCTCACGCTCGTTATTCCAAAGCGCGCTCCCGTGTCCGTGGCGCGCACACACTCGTGTCCCACTGAGCCGCTGCACTTTGGGGAAAGACACGTCTCACACATTGCTCTCATTGCTCTGATACAAACAACGTGTTCCCCGCTGTCTGTTAGCTACAGTAGCTGCTACAGTAGCTGTTAGCTACAGTAGCTGCTACAGTAGCTGTTAGCTACAGTAGCTGCTACAGTAGCTGTTAGCTACAGCATCAGAATGTAAACAGGAAGCTCGCACAATGCGGGAGTCACTGAAGTTAGTATTAGCGCCACCAGCTGGACCGAGCGTTGTACTACAGCACAGTTACTCAGGCACAGTTGAAAGAACAAGCATGAAAACCCGAGGAGGCTTTTGGAAAAGACTGTCTGTTACAACATTTCTATTTTGAGTAATCAGTTTTAAAAATGTGATATTTCATGTAAATAATGCATGTGTTTAATAGGATTGATATATTTGCGATGGGCCTTGTTTGTGTGATTTAAGTTATTTTGAAGGTGCATAGTGTCATTGTAAGTGAAGTTATTATAAAACTGTTAAGCTACATTTTCACTGTTTACAATGGCAGAGCCATCTCGTTTACAAGCATGTTTTAAGGCTTAATTCCTGTTACACTTATGCTCCATGGGGATTTAGATTAAACTGCATAAAGGAAAATCTATTTCTTTGTCAGTTGTAGTTTGTTTTTAAATAGAAAAAAATAAATCGATTAAAATCGAAAATCGGATTTGGTGTGAAAAAATCGGAGATTTTTTTTTTTGCCATATCGCCCAGCCCTATCACAACCTTTTGCACATTTAAATACCATAGGGGTGGATCCATTGTGTCTGAATTCTTCAAGCCTTTTGTGCGTTCAAACTTGTGTAACCAGTCTCTGCTCTGATCTGTGCTTTGATGGATGTCCTTCATTAATGACTTGCACATATTTACCCAAGTCCCTGCCCTTCTGCTCCTGTCTCTAATGTTGTTTAAGTCACTGTGCTTCCTAAACTATATTTGACACCATTGGTCCAGAGGGAAAAGGTTTAAACCAAGTCCATAAATGTCCTGGATCATCCCCTGTCCTTGGACCTCCTGCAAGGAGGAAAAAAAACTCAAAATCTTAGTGGTAGAAAAGCGAAACTCCAAGAAGACCCACAGTAGTGAGAGGGATAAATCCACTCCCAGGTTGAAGATCCAGAACTGAGGCTGTAGAGCTAGGACCTAGGCTGTAGACCCAGGACTGAGGCTGTAGACCCAGGACTGAGGCTGTAGATCCTGGACTGAGGCTGTAGATCCTGGACTGAGGCTGTAGATCCTGGACTGAGGCTTTAGATCCTGGACTGAGGCTTTAGATCCAGGACTGAGGCTTTAGATCCAGGACTGAGGCTTTAGATCCAGGACTGAGGCTGTAGATCCAGGACTGAGGCTGTAGATCCTGGACTGAGGCTTTAGATCCTGGACTGAGGCTTTAGATCCAGGACTAAGGCTTTAGATCCAGGACTGAGGCTGTAGATCCAGGACTGAGGCTTTAGATCCAGGACTGAGGCTGTAAATCCAGGACTGAGACTGTAGATCCAGGACTGAGGCTGTAGATCCAGGACTGAGGCTTTAGATCCAGGACTGAGGCTGTAGATCCAGGACTGAGGCTTTAGATCCAGGACTGAGGCTGTAAATCCAGGACTGAGACTGTAGATCCAGGACTGAGGCTGTAGATCCAGGACTGAGGCTTTAGATCCAGGACTGAGGCTTTAGATCCAGGACTGAGGCTGTAGATCCAGGGCTGAGGCTTTAGATCCAGGACTGAGGCTGTAGATCCAGGACTGAGGCTGTAGATCCAGGACTGAGGCTTTAGATCCAGGACTGAGGCTGTAAATCCAGGACTGAGACTGTAGATCCAGGACTGAGACTCTAGATCCAGGACTAAGGTTAATTACCCAGGCTCTCCATGTTTTCTGATGGACTGTAACTGTATCCATCGATCTGTATTTTGTTGTCAAATGTGTCAAATACTAAGGACAAATGTTAAAAGTTAAATGAAAGTGTTCCCTAACCTTCAACCTTCTGGTCTTCTTGTTCGCAGGTCTTTACTCTGGGGGCCGGACACAGGAAGGCTTTGGGATGATGTTTGGAGTGAACCACCTGGGACACTTCCTCCTCACTGACCTGCTGCTGGACCGCTTGAAGGAGAGCGGCCCCAGTCGAGTGGTCAACGTGTCGTCCATGGGCCACAACGTTGGACGCGTGGACTTCGACTGCCTGAACAAGAACAAGGCTCTGGGTTTGGGCACCTCCATGTTCGACCTCCTGCAGATCTACGCCGACAGCAAACTCTGCAACGTCCTGTTCACACACGAACTCAATAAGAGGCTGCAGGGGACCAAGGTCACCTGCTACTCCCTGCACCCAGGTCAGCGTGTGTGTCTGTGCGCGTGTGTGTTGCGTGTGTCTAACAAACACAATTCAACAGTTCAGGTCAGCACGGGAGGGTGCGTGGACTCCCATAGCAGTCAATTTGAAAGATCCCATTCAAATCAATGTAATTCTGAACATTTATGGGCATTGGTCATCTGCCCCTTATGGATCATATGGACCAAAAAACACTGAAAAACACACCTACTTTTTTATCTGAAGTGATTGAATATGTGTTTGTATGTATATACAGTGCCTTGCAAAAGTATTCGGCCCCCTTAAACTTTTCAACATTTCGCCACATTTCAGGCTTCAAACATAAAGATATCAAAAAAAACATTTTTGTCAAGAATCAACAACAAGTGGGACACAATCGTGAAGTGGAACAAAATTTATTGGATAATTTAAACTTTTTTAACAAATAAAAAACTGAAAAGTGGGGCGTGCAATATTATTCGGCCCCCTGCGCTAATACTCTGTAGCGCCACCTTTTGCTGCAATTACAGCTGCAAGTCACTTGGGGTATGTCTCTATCAGTTTTGCACATTGAGAGACTGGAATTCTTTCCCATTCTTCCTTGCAAAACAGCTCGAGCTCAGTGAGGTTGGATGAAGAGTGTTTGTGAACAGCAGTCTTCAGCTCTTTCCACAGATTCTCGATTGGATTCAGGTCTGGACTTTGACTTGGCCATTCTAACACCTGGATACGTCTATTTGTGAACCATTCCATTGTAGATTTGGCTTTATGTTTTGGATCATTGTCCTGTTGGAAGATAAATCTCCGTCCCAGTCTCAAGTCTTTTGCAGACTCCAACAGGTTTTCTTCCAGAATGGTCCTGTATTTGGCTCCATCCATCTTCCCATCAATTTTAGTCATCTTCCCTCTCCCTGCTGAAGAAAAGCAGGCCCAAAGCATGATGCTGCCACCCCCATGTTTGACAGTGGGGATGGTGCGTTCAGGGTGATGAGCTGTGTTGCTTTTACGCCAAACATATCGTTTTGCATTGTGGCCAAAAAGTTCGATTTTTGTTTCATCTGACCAGAGCACCTTCTTCCACATGTTTGGTGTGTCTCCCAGGTGGCTTGTGGCAAACTTTAAACAAGACTTTTTATGGATATCTTTGAGAAATGGCCACTCTTCCATAAAGGCCAGATTTGTGCAGTGCACGACTGATTGTTGTCCTATGGACAGACTCTCCCACCTCAGCTGTAGTTATCTGCAGTTCATCCAGAGTGATCATGGGCCTCTTGGCTGCATCACTGATCAGTCTTCTCCTTGTTTGAGATGAAAGTTTGGAGGGACGGCCGGGTCTTGGTAGATTTGCAATGGTCTGATACTCCTTCCATTTCAATATAATTGCTTGCACAGTGATCCTTGAGATGTTTAAAGCTTGGGAAATCTTTTTGTATCCAAATCAAGCTTTAAACTTCTCCACAACAGTATCTTGGACCTGCCTGGTGTGTTTCTTTGTCTTCATGGTTCTCTCTGCGCTTTAAACAGAACCCTGAGACTATCAAAGAGCAGGTGCATTTATACGGAGACTTGATTACACACAGGTGCATTCTATTTATCATCATCAGTCATTTAGGACAACATTGGATCATTCAAAGATCCTCACTGAACTTCTGGACTGAGTTTGCTGCACTGAAAGTAAAGGGGCCGAATAATATTGCACGCCCCACTTTTCAGTTTTTTATTTGTTAAAAAAGTTTAAATTATCCAATACATTTTGTTCCACTTCACGATTGTGTCCCACTTGCTGTTGATTCATGACAAAAAATTAAAATTTTATATCTTTATGTTTGAAGCCTGAAATGTGGCGAAATGTTGAAAGGTTCAAGGGGGCCAAATACTTTAGCAAGGCACTGTATGTGTGTGTGTGTGCGAGTGTGTGCATGTGTGTGTCTGAATGTGTATGTGCATGTGTGTATGTACTTCATAATATATTTGGTTTGGGGTGCGTCTGCTGGGTGGTCGGGTTGACGAGTCATCGGCATATGAGACTGTTTTAAACCATAATTTGCATTTGTTTGTATGAAAAGAGCTTTATAAATATAATTTCATTGATTTGAATAAGAGTTAGAATAGACTGCAGCAGCTTAGAATAAGTCGGTCTAAACCAGAGCAGAATAGTCTGGATCTAAAGTAGCTCTCCCACAAATTCTATATTAGTTAGAAATGGACAGAAATGTGTCTAAAATCAACAAATAATTGATGAGGAATTAAAGAACCTCTTTTATTGAAAACATGAATTACAATTAAAACTTTACAACTATCAAACTTCCTATTGACCAGATGCACCGACGTCATCCAGTCACGTGATTGTAAATGAGCTTACGGCGGAAGTATTGGAAACTAGCATTGCAGCGAGAGCAAAACGGACACAACTCAAAAACTGAGACTCCTCCTAAATCGAGAAGTGGCTGCTTCAAGCACATGTTTGATTACGTTTTCGGTGAAAGTGGGACATCAGGTCAGGGCACACAAAGAGCGGTATTTGGAGAGCTAAGGATTGCTGAGCTGGATGTTGACCCGTACCTTCTCCCCACAGTCATTTTTATCGATTAAATGAAATGTCCAATTTTGTCCGAGTTCACCCTACATGATCTTTATCATTATGCCGTTAACAATGCATCCCCTCACACTGGAGCAGATGTAGGATTAGCACATTAGCAATGCACTTTTCTGTCTACAGCCAAACATGATACATATTGACAGAGAGGAAAACAGTGAAAAACGCAACTGACGTCTAAGATAAGATAAGAGATCTTTTATTTGTGCCACAGTGAGGAAATTTCAATGTTGCATACAGGACAGTAGTAAGAGCACATGTTTGACTTCAAGCGTTCCTTGTGTCATTGTCCTCCAAATAAAGTAATGGAAAGAGAATAAATACAAAATTGTGATTGATTTATCTTGGAAAAAGTGTTTGGGAGTACTTGGATGGCTCCCAGTCCTTTTGGTTGATTTCCGCCGTCGTTGTCTTCTGTCTTCATCACGAGCAGGTATCAGATAAAAAACACATTTGGCTTATGTCCCTGCCTGTTAGTACAACCAACCGCACTGAAAAATATCACAGTTTTGGCTGTTATTCGATGAAACAGGTTTTGTGGAAAAGTTTCCGAAGGCTCGCAGTTAGACTTGCACCGTTTGTCATGAGAGTGGCCGTGGCCGAGACGTCACATGCACGGGGTCAATAGTTAGTACTGTTATAGGATAGAGTTTCAAAACTAAAACAGAGACTGATCTGGGGTCTGTTTGCGTGTGATGGAACTCTCCCATGACTCGACCCTAGGGCAGCTGTGCTTCATCAGGCGTTATTACCAAAGAGTTTTCCACCATCGGCCTGTGGCGCTGGGTCTCGTGAAGCAGTGACTGCAGCAGAACAGATCAGTGTGAAGCCTTAAGAGTTGGTTTAGGTTTCAGAATGAGAAAAAATGTTGGGGTAAAGTCCAGTGTTGGCAAAACTCACTATCTACTTACTGCTAAAGAGAATCTATAAGGTTCCTTATATAGATAAGGTACGAACAGGCAAGGGATGTTGTCTTGTGCCAATAGAAAGACCAGAGAGAGACCAGAGAGAGAGAGACCAGAGAGAGAGAGAGAGAGTCCAGAGAGAGAGAGACCAGAGAGAGAGAAGGACTAGAGAGAGCATTGCATATGAGTCCTTAATAAGGTCTAAATGAAAAAATAAATAAAGAGACCAGAGAGGCGAAAAATAATAACTTAGTTTAGTTAGCTAACACATTACATTCAGTGAAATGTGTACGTTCCTGCAACGACCAGATTTCAAAGTTCTAAGCTTTAAAATCATAAATGCCTGGCAGTGAATTGACAGAGCTTAGATTGTCTGGATGTGTCTATGCTGGTCACTACTGTCTTGGTTTTGCCAATACAGCAGGTAGAAGCATGTTATACGGATATACAATTCTTTTTTTCTCTTGGTTTTCCAGGTGCCATAAACTCTGAGTTAGACCGTAACTTCAGCCGCGTCCTGGTGTGGGTTCTGTCCCCGGTCACAGCGTTCTTCTTCAAGACTCCGGAGCAGGGCTGTCAGACCACACTGCACTGTGCCCTGCAGCCAGGACTGGAGCCTCTGAGCGGACGGTACTTCTCCAACTGTACGGTCCGCAACGTGTTCGCCAAGGCACGGGACGACGCCGCCGCCAGGAAGTTGTGGGAGCTCAGCGAGCGGATGTGTGGGATGGAATAAGGGAGAGAGCAGAGAGGAGAGGGAAGAGCAGAGCAGAAAGGGTGGGGGAGGAAGGGGGGAGAACAGAGAGCAGAGGAGAGTAGCGGGGGGGGGGGGAGAGAAGAGCAGAGAGTAGAGGAGAGCAGGTGGAAATTGGACGGCTGTAGTCATTCTGATGACGGATAGAAGAGGAGAGTATGTTGTACCCATATTTCTCCAGCAGGGGTCTCAAATGGCTGCTTGACTGGCCATCTGTGTTTTCTAACTTGTATTTGTAAGTCTTTCCATTGGTGCCATATGCATGAATTAAAGAGGAATGATACCATATTGTCTCCTAATAAAGTAATGTGAGTCCTTCTTCATGCTTCATTAGGATGCATAACATATCACAAAAACATGGATTCCAATATATAGCGATGTGTCATTGCATGTAATTTTATTTAGTTAGAGCTCTGTTCAAAATCCTATAATGACACAGCAGGCCTCAGTTTGGCCTGTTTTACAATCTAAAGGGCTCGACACACGGGAGGCGACAAATGAGAGCGATCAGCGAAACTCAACGCTGTCGCTCAGATAACATGACAGACGGGGCGCGATGCGGCTTGACGACAGCGTCGAAAAGTTGAGCCGATTTCAACTTTCTGGGATCGCGTCGCTGACCTGCGCGTGCACGATACATGCACGAGCGGGAGGATTTCACACGCACGTTTTTCGCCCGTCGCTGAGCAGGAGGCTCGCTAGCGATTGACGCTATGTCGCGCACGTCCCATTGAAAATGAATGGAGGCGATGCGATGTCGCCTCCCGTGTGTCGAGCCCTTTAGATTTTTCTATGGTTCCGCTTTCACTGTGTTTATGAAAGAGCTTTTGTAACTTCACACAACAGCCTCCACTGTGGACAAAGGTTACATTCAGTTGATTATACCAATCCTTCGATTATTCAACATCAGAATTTACTACATTTATCACAGTGATCCCAATGGTCAGAAAGGATACCATGGATGAGTGCTCTTTACACCTCGTGTTAAATCACAAGTTCCAGATCACAAACAAAGTTGTGATCCTTGTAAAGGACTGTTATATAGCATAATGTTTTTTTACTAAGAATCTCTGCCAGTTCTCCGTGTTGGTCATGGTGGTGCAGTGGTTATGCGTTTGTGTCTCACAGCCAGAAGGTCATGGGTTTGATTTCACCTCCAGGCCTTTCTGTGTGGAGTTTGCATCTTCTCCCTGTGTCTGCATAGGTTTCCTCTAGGTACTGCGCTTTCCCCTTTAGCAAAAAATAAGTACAATATTGGCATGCATCCTTATGACCATGGCCGGCCCTAGGTCATCAGGCGCCCCAGGCGAAAATACATTTTGGCGCCCCTTGCCCACTTGTAGAGGGCATCACAGTGAACAAGCGTGCTGTGAATGTAGTCACAAACCTTTGAAATTTGCATTTTGGCGGCTCATTCCCGCAGCTTCTCTTTCCACTTTTATGTGAGAAACAGCCCGAAGGAGCCACCTGCTGTTGATCAGTGTTGGGCAAGTTACTTCAAAAACGTAATACATTATGTTTCACTTATTACTGCTATTTCAAAATAATATTACTGTATCTGAATTACTTTTAAGTTACTTTCTCCAAATATATATAGTTAAAAAAAAGGATTAGGATTTAACCTTCTCAAGTTCAATTTTTATATATTAATTTCAGTCTAATAATCGAAGGGGTTGTTAAACTTGGGGTAAACTGGTTAATCCTAAACAGGTTCAGCCCTGGCTCAGTCCTAATTCAGTCCTGGTTGTCCTAGTTCAGTCCTGGTTGTCCTGGCTCAGTTCAGTCCTGCTTGTCCTGGTTCAGCCCTGGTTGCCCTGCTCTGTCCTGGTTCACAGCAGCTGCGCGTATTTTCCGTCCGTTCTACGTCATGGTGCTACGTCCCTTAGGACTTCGCTAGTGGGATATCACTCGTGACCCCCAGGTCACGCGCCAGAGAGATCAAAATAATTTGCTCCAATCACCAGCCACCCTCCTCTATAAATGCCCCTGCACAAGGCCGTACCCCCTCTTTCACTCTGGCGCCGATTGAGATCTACCGTTCAACTTACCTGAGGAAAAGATGTCTTCTGATGCTCGTCCGAGTTCCCCTTCGCCATCCGGCGTCGGACGTCGTCGCTGCTCGACTTGTCGGGTCAAGCTCCAGCGCAAGGACCAGCTGCTTCGTGTGCCTGGGTTCGGGCCATGCGGCGTTGAGCGCCACCTGTGCCTCGTGTCTCGCTCTCCCCAGGGAGGAGAGTGAACGCAGGCGCGCGTTCTTCGCCGCTACAGCGCCCCGTCCGGACTCCTCTCAGGACGAGGAGTCTGTGATTGACTGGGCCCCTCTCGACCTTCCACCCGTGCCCGCGGAGTGGGGTGACTGCGAGGACGGAGAGGTTTCGGAGGTCGGCTCTCTCCTCACGCTGGACGAGGTGGTGTCCAACCCGAAGCCGGACCGCTTCCCGCTGGACCACATGCCTGGGCTCTATTCCACGGCGGCGGCCATCATGGATGCCCCCCTGCCACCGCAGCCGAACCAGAGGGTGGAGGACTTCACCTCTGGTTACGCCACCACTCGAGGGAGGAGGAGGGCGCAGCCCACGTTGAGCCCGCGGATGGACCCAATCGTCCATTACGCGACACGTGAGTGGCCAAAGTCCCTAGCGGCCAAGAGGCCCGCTTTGGGGTACGGCATGTACTGCCAATGCGGCTCAGGTCGTCGCTGTGGCTAACAACATGGCCTTCATCACCGGGGCCCTGGATAGGTCGCTCTCTTCTGGCCAGGCGCTCAGTGGAGACACCTTATCCCAGGCGAGGACCACTTCAGCGGCGATCCTGCGCATGTGCCAGGCGCTAGCTGTCGATGGCGGCCGCACGATGGCAGCAGCACAAGTGGGGGCCAGACACCTCTGGCTGGGGCTGGCGAACATCAGGGAGGCGGAGAAGAGGCAGCTGCTGGACCTGCCCATCTCCCAAACGTCGCTCTTCGGTCCGGAGATGCAGACCCTGATGACTAGGCTGGACACCGCAGCTAAGGACTCTGCTAGCTTAGCCCAGCACCTAGCTACGAGGCGCGAGGCCCGCCCACCAGCGCGGAGCCAAGACAGAGGCAGGGAGCGCTCGCCCGGCAGGCGCCCCGGACCATATCCACGCTCCGTGGTTCATCGTTCCCCAGCGACGAGGCCCCCGGGCCCAGACAGGCACACGGGAGGCTCGCGGGACCAACGCACCCACCGACGACCTCCCTATGGCAGAGGAGGTCGGGGTGGGAAGAATTCTTTCAATAAAAGCCGTCCGGCATTTCATCAGTACTCGCTGTCTGAGTCTCATTTGGGGGTATGTAACATGTCAAATGATCTGAATTCTGATTGTGTTACTTCTCGAGCATATAACGTGGCTCCGCGAGGCCTGCAGCCCCCAGAGAAGGGCGTGCAGCGTACTACGCGGGCCACGAGCTCCGATTCACGGGTTCATGTTTTGCCCTCCCGGAGAGAGGGCAGGCGGAGGGATCTGGTGAGTGATAATGTGTGTGCTCCGGCCGAACGCGTGTTAGCATCTCTGAGCTACAAGGCTAACACGGGGTTTCCCACTCCAGGGGCTCGCCCCCCCCTCCATGAGGCAAGAGCCAGGGGGGGGCACAGCAGCCGAGTCACGTGTGGTGAGCAGAGCTACAAGGCCAACACGGGGTTTCCCACTCCAGGGGCTCGCCCCCCCCTCCATGAGGCAAGAGCCAGGGGGGGGCACAGCAGCCGAGTCACGTGTGGTGAGCAGTCCCGTACTTATGACGTCGGGCCTGCAGAACACGTGATCGCCCCCGGCGCTCACGGTGTGACGCAGGGGCCCCCCCGGCTCTTTCAGCCACCCCCCCTCCCTGCTAGGAACACCAGGAGAGGGCGGGGCCGTGACGTCTCGTGTTCCAGCTCCCGTTCCGCCCCTCACAGACTTCTACAGCATCTGGAGGGAGCAGGGCCTACTGACAGATATTTGGCTGGAGAAAACTTTGCGCAGGGGTTACGCACTGCAATTTTTCCGAAAGCCACCACCATTCCGAGGCGTACGGGCAGTACGCTCTCAGGTACGGGGATCGATAGAGGCACTACAAGCGGAAGTCTCCTCTCTGCTGAGTCGAGGCGCAGCAGTGGAGGTAGACCCGCAGGACGCCACCAGGGGGCTGTACTCCCCTTACTTCTTAGTGCCAAAGAAGTCAGGCGGGGTGCGTCCCATTCTGGATCTGCGCGTGTTAAACGAGTGCATTTCCAAACGGCAGTTTCGGATGCTGTCCACAAGGCAGCTCCTCGAGTGTGTCAGGGAAGGAGACTGGATGACATCCATAGACCTAACAGATGCGTACTTCCACGTGCCCATAGTACCAGAACACAGGAGGTTTCTGCGCTTCGCAGTGGGAGAGAGGAATTACGAGTACTGCCGTCTACCCTTCGGGTACGCACTCGCGCCTCGGACTTTTTCCAAATGTGTGGAAGCAGCTCTGGAGCCGATCAGACGCGCGGGGGTAAGAATATTAACCTATATAGACGATTGGTTAATACTGGCCCCATCCAGGGAGGTGGCCGTGAGTCACACGCACTGGGTCCTGTCCCACATACAGCGTCTGGGCTTTGTGGTAAACAGGGAGAAGAGCAAGCTGCAGCCAGCCCAACGCATGATTTATCTCGGCCTGCAGCTAGACTCTGTGACATTCCGTGCTGCATTGTCCGTGGACAGACGGATCAACATTACCCGTCTGGCCCGGGAGGTTCTGGCGGGCCCCAGAGTCCCCGCTCGGCGCCTCAGGTCCCTGCTGGGAATGATGGCGGCGGCTCATGCTGTGGTGCGGCTAGGCCTGCTCCACATGAGACATTTTCAGAGGTGGTTCTCGCGCCTCAGGCTTCACCCCTCCCGGGACGGGGGGAGGCTGATCTGGGTTCCCCAAGGGGCAGCATCGGACATCAGGTTCTGGCTCACTCCGGGTCTATTGCGGGACGGAGTGACTCTGGCCTGCGCCGTGT